TGGGCGGGGGCCCCGGTGTGGGGCGGGGGGGCCAGCCGCAGCGGGAGCAGTCTATGGGCTCTGCAGGGGACGGGGGAGCAGAATTTTTTCTGTTCTCTCCGCGGCACACCTCTGAGGTGTGCCACGGAACACACTAAGAAACGCAGGACTATAACAAAAATATGCAATGTCACAAAAGCTCATGCGCTATATATTTTTGTTAGTCTCTAAGGGTGCGTCTACACTGCACCGTAGTTCGAAATGAGATATGTGTATCTTATTTCAATATAGCTTATTTCATCAGTTGGCGCTGTCTACACAGCACCAAATTGGAAATAACCCGCTATTCCAAAATGTCCCTTACTCCTCATGCAATGAGGTTTACAGGGATGTCGGAATAGCGAGCCCAAAATAACAGGCTTGCTGTGAAGACGTGGGATCACTATTTCGGGATACTCCAGTATCCCAAAATAGCGCTGCAGTGTAGACGTAGCCTAAGGTGCCACAGGACTACTGGTTTTTAAATTTACAAATGAACATGGTTACCCCTCTGAGACTAGGAAAACCAAGTTTTTCTCAATCTCTGAACAGTAAGAACTGTTTCTTAAGAACAGCTAGGTGGCAGCAACATGTTTCTTTACAGTCAGTTCATTTTCAGTCACTTATCTGTCCGGGCTTGCTAGCCCAGAACTGTAAAATGCACTGCTAGAAAATTGAACACGGCTGCAGATAACGACTTTATACACACAGAACCCTATCTGGTAGAGCTGAATTGTGCTCCTCTTGAAGCCAGCATCAAAGCTTCCAGCAGCTTAACAGAAGCAGAAAAAAGGTCCTTAGTTCTCCCAGCATGCGGGTTTATTTTCTTCCACACTCTCCTTTTGACTCTCAGCTTTTACAGCCTCCTAAGCCTTCATCTCAAACAATTCATAAAAGAATCCAGAAAGGAAAGTGTGAACGGTTTTCAGATTTTATTCACTGAGATGATTCCCTGTTCTGTTCACTCCCTCTGGGGCACCTGGCGTCGGCCACTGTCGGAAGACAGGATCCGGGGCTAGCCGGACCTTTGGGCTGACTCCGGGTCTTATAAGACCAGATGGCAGACAGAGCTGGCCTGATCCTGCTCCCATGGAAATCAATGGAAGTCTTACCACTGTGTAGGTAGGATTGGTACCAGTGATCTGGACAGGGGCAGAAGGACTTAGCAGCGCTGGGAAAAAAAGCCCTGCCATTAATATAAAGTGGTTTTGTTAATGATATTTTAACCTGATGGCGAGAAAAAGGGAACAAAACGTCCAGAGAAAAATGTGAACGGAAGACAGAACTACCAGATGGGAAAGCTTTTCTACCTCAGCAAGAATGACGCATCACTGACAGCTCCATGTCTCCCCCCGCTCCCCAAAATCCTGCAACAACAAACAGCAGCAACATAAGCAGTTTTGACCCCTCCAAGGGAGAAGGAGCACAGATGCCAGGAAGTCCATTAGGAGCTTTTCCTTGCTCTTGATTTCATATGCAAAGTGCCCACACTGCATTGATGACTAGCAGGAGAGCCCCCTAAGACACGCAGACGAGAGGAGATGCAATTTCTTACAGAGAAGCAAGAGGACAGGACTACGGAAGGTAGGGGAAGCAAAAAAAAAAAATAAACCAAACCTAATTCATGTGTCGCAGAGGTATCCCAGCTATTCCTGATTGCTGGAAAGAACTCATGACACTGTGTCTAGAGGCAGACCAGTTCAAAGTCTATAACTTTTCAACAGTCAGTTGCGTCTATGCTCTTGTTTGATAGTCAACATAGATTTCAGCAGTCAGTTCCAAACGAGGGCAGTTTTGTCAATGCACAAAAAAATCACCAACGTCTCTCCCTCTTTAAGCCCCACACAGATTGCCAAAACTGGAAAAGAAGGGACTCAAAAGGCATGTACTGGTTTCTTTAAAGACACGGGATTAGCTCAGCACTGTCTGCCATGCTAGTCAGTGTTTCCATCTCTTGGACAGCATATTTTTCTGCAGCTGGCTGAAAAACAGAGAATATTTTTCATGCAACGTTTAAGTAACTGCCCTAGAAACTGTTTCATTGGAATTTTGGAAAATTCCAACCAGTTTCATCCCTTTGCTTTCGGCCCCATGGGATGTCGTCACAGTTTCTGGCTGGCAGAAGGGCACCTGGGGGTAACTTGCTGCAGCACCACTTCCTTTTCCGTGCTCTTGCTGCATTTATAATCCATGGTGCCGCGGGCCGGGCAGTGCTTCTTCACCAGGTGGTAGAGAATGGCCAGCAGGGCCAAAAGCGTGGCCAGGATGCCCATGCTGATTCCGATCAGCGCTCCGGGGTGGAGGCTGTCTGCCTTCGGTGGGGCGCGGGTGGGAGCCACTGTTTTGGGGTAGGGCTCCGTCTCACCTGACGACTCCTCCTCAGGAGAACACGTGCGCTGGTCAGAGAGGACGTACCCCTCCTGGCAGTGACACCTGTAGTGGCCTGGCTCGTTCGTGCAGAGCTGGTCACAATAGCCCTGCTCACACTCGTCCACATCCTGACACATCTTTTCACCCCTGTCACCCTCGTTCAGAATAAAGCCGTCGGGGCAGTAACAACTATCCAGAGTGTGGGGGTCACAATCTGCTGGGCATTCTGTCTCGTTGGGGCAGTAACAACTATCCAGAGTGTGGGGGTCACAGTCTGCTGGGCATTCTGTCTGGTTGCAAAATCTGGCACATTTGTGCGGGTTTTGGGGGTCTGTAATGAATCCATCAAAGCAGCTGCAGCTGTAGCCGCCTGGCACATCCTCACACTTGTGCTCACACTTGCCTTCCTCGCAATCCAGCACGTCCTCACACTTGCCGTCCACCATCTCGTAGCCCGGGTGGCACTCGCAGTCGAAGCCCCCGTCGGTGTTGGTGCAAACCTGCTCACAGACGCCCGGCGTGGCTTTGCAGTCATCAATGTCCTTGCAGTGGACGCCGTCCCCCGCCAGCTCGTAGCCCTCGGAGCAGATGCAGGTGAAGTTCCCGGTGCCCGGGGTGCAGAAGTGCTCGCAGGGCGCGTTGGCGCACAGGGAAGAGCAGCCGCGTCCGTCCTGCTCCAGCTGCTCCCCCTGGGGGCAGGCGCAGCGCGGGCTCCCGCCGTCCCACTGGCACGATTGCTCGCAGCCCCCGTTCTCCAGCTGGCAGTGCCAGGCCCCCCGGCTGGCTGAGCTCCATCGCCAGCCCCCGCTGCTGTGCTCCTGGCACACCAGCTCCACGCCCAGGCCAGGGGCCGAGGCCGTGCTTTGGGGCGGGAGGGCCAGGAGGTCACTGTCCCGCACCCCGAAGGGGGTGGTGTAGGTCACCACCAGGCCTGCCCCCGGGGAGAGCTTGGGGCACGTGCCGGGGTAATTGTACTCACACAGGAAGCCGTCTGCTTCGGAGTCACACTGCTTCGCCTCCCACAAGAGGTCCGGGGCCACGGCCACGCACTGGGGCCCGCAGCTGGGGTCGCCCGGCTTCCAGTTGGCGTAGTCCGTGCTCTCATCGCCCGTGACCCAGCGGAAGCCCCGCAGCCTGCGGCCGGGCTCCGGGCACTGCTGGTCCTGGGGCAGCTGCAGCCCGATCCCCAGGCTGGCGGCGCCCTGGCG